GATCCAGAGCATATCAGACTGATTCTCAAGTAGTGTACTGCAAGACGCAAAGCTTTTCATCTTTATCATCTTCGATATGAAGATTTTACTGCTATACCAGTAACACTTCGTTATACCTTTTGCTATCAATGCTTAATTACATTATACTGATCTATAAACTCTCATCTATAGGTAAGCTAAGCATGATGTATAGAATCGGAAAAAAGCAAGCAAACTATTATAATTAATATAATAAATAAGTGTGACATGAAGACAGCAAAGTGAACCAAGAAGTCTGATGACTAACTAACATTTATGAATTGATCGTTCAAAATAAAAGTCGATCATTTGAATTAATATCAAGTTTGTCTCCATCGTATCTAATGCCCACATCATATTGGCACTATTTGTGCATTATTTAAAAAACATTTTTTCTGATTTTGAGATTATTCTAATAAGTTACTCACCACAACGAAATAAAACAAGAATTAATATATGAGGAAATTTTTATGTTGTGGGTCTATCAAAGAGACTTGTCGTCGTATATGTGATACTACTTGCTTATTTTATCGAATGATTTGATTTTCTTTTACCTTTGTAATAAGGTGACTTCAGTCATTTCTTACTCTTCGTTACTTTGCATAGTTTTCTTCCTTTTTCTAATATTTTTTTGTACTCTGTACTCAATCATGAAAAGGTCCAAATAAGATGCGCACAAAAATTTGCCCATAACGAAACATGTGCACGAAGCGATATGCTTGAGTGATTTAACATTCAGTGAATCTTGTACACTAAATAAAAACAAAACATACTCATACCTGAAAAGTATCGAACGGCAAAAGGAAGTAGCAAAAGTGAAAAATTACTTTCATTTTGAAACCCATAATATGTTATATTCATATGCGTAAACAAGAAGCCTCGAAAACAAAATCGATAGTTATTCCCATATGCAGTGAATATCAACGAATTACTGTCGTATATATTCATCTTTATACATCACTTCAAACTTGTTGTTTTTAATAAATATCTAGTTTAAAAATATTAGTACATTAAAATGATTGACTGCTTAATAACGAAAATATTTAGTTTAGTGTACATGATCAATATACAATTTGCGTATAAACTAATACTTTAATGTCCTCAAGAAAATGTTTTTACACAAAGCGCGTCAATTATAAATAAACTAGTTGAAATATTATAATACAAGAATCTAAAAGTTTTCCCAAGTCTGTCAGATCAAGAATGGCATTGACATTGATAGCTGCGGTGTGGGTGGATGTAAGGTGTGGCTGAGTGCACGTTTGAAGGACAAGAGTATCAACACACACTCTCTGCCACCCACACACCCACAAAATATTGATTCCTATACATCTTGACTAGCTCTTCAATAAACATGTCTTGAAAAGAAAACTTTGTTATCAGTTGATAAAAAATTTTCACCTCTTTCGAACGGTGTATGATTTATATTTGTCACATATTCGTCAATGAAATGAGACGAAGCAGAAAGAGAAACAGTTGTGCAATAAATTTGCAATTTCTATATAAATTCATCAAAAACATGTTGCTCTACAATAATGTATCCAAGTTTTATGTACTCTTTAAAAAGGCCTTGTAAAACAGTGCTTACTTCGGCTTTTATGAACTAGTTAAAAACAGTCTGTTAGACGACAATTAATTGTGCTCAACTGCCGTCTACTAGATATTCTTGACGAATCGATATAAAAATTGTAAATTTATTGCGCGTATGTATGAAACACATATAGTGATCAACATTTTGTGCCATTCTTTTATAAAAAAAAGTACGAATTTTTTTTCAGTGTCTTTCCTTTTTATTGCGTCGTTCCATTTACAATCGTTTGATGAAAACAATTTATATATGAGTTGAAAGAGGAGAATAAGCTGTCTTTTGGTAAAAAAAAACCTTTTCTTTCAGCACTCTGTTATCCAGAAGAAAAAGGAATCAACATGTTGTGGCATTAGTTTTGTATCGTGTGAAACTTCAACAATATAAGCATCTGTTCTTTGATTAATAGACTTACAAAAGAAAACAGATTAATTAATCATGAATCCGGCACTTTTCTAATTCTAACTGTAAATATATCGCCCAACAAATATTATATTATATACCTTTCATGTTGTGCTTCTATTGAATGCCTATTTGCAGATAAATAGCCATCATTACTATGCTACTTATTTTTAAATATAATCTATTTAGTGCTATTAAGTGTAGCGTTTATCAATAATATTAACTTTATTCATGTTTTGTTCAATGAAATCAATTGAAAACTGTTGAATTTTTTTTCATTAAATATAATTCATTTTAATACATTTCATATTACATTTTTAATTTAATTTATCTATCAAGATATCAACTGTGGGGCAATCTGTTAAAACTGAACAGTTCATTCAAATCTTTTGCACATGAACACCTTATCATTAATGCTAAAAACACGAAACATCTGTTATGATAAATATCAGAATTTTTAAAAACAACTAAGAAAAAATGCTAGATATTTATTAGGAACAAATGACTTGATTTTTATGTTATCGTGCATTTACATCATGTTCAAAAATTCTTAATGACATTCATATATAAACGAGAAGAAAAAACAGCGCAAAAAATCAAAATCTACATTAAAAGTTTATGCATAGAGTCGTTAATCTATTTAATATTCACTATATTGAGAAACATAAAATGTTTCATATGATAGTTCTTTTCAATATGATTCTCTTACATTTCATTGCAGCTACACCTCAAATAAATCTTCATTATACAGACTGGGTAAAAGAAAATGAAAGTAATAATGGCCTGCAACATGATTGTTTACGTGTTCTTGCTTCGAATGATGAAACCAGTATTAGTCGTGAAATTACATCTTATTGTATGAGTGAATTGCCATCGGAATTTCATATCATCGAGAACGATGATGTTTTTCCAAAGTTTACTTTTGCTGAACTTTACAAACTAAATATAACAAGTGAACATTTATATCTTTGGTCAGCACCAATGGATATAGCTGAAGATTATCAATATTATTTAAATCAATTATCTATATCGAATAATATAATATACTTAGCATCACAAGTATTCTATAATTGTACATTACCAAGATTTGGTTCTATGTGTCAATATGAAATTATTTATTATCAATCAAATCATTTATCGTTATATGATATCATTCATGACTATTATAGTACACATGAATATAATCCAACTAATTTTACTTGTTATACTCATTTAAAATGTAATCGTGGTAATTTTCCAGCATGTTTAGATTGGAGTGAAATTTGTGATGGACAAATACATTGTCTCGATGGTGAATATGATGAAGAACAATGTTGGCAAATTGACATGAATGAATGTAATGATGATGAATATCGATGTAGGAATGGACAATGTATACCTCAAGAATTCTTTCGAGATGATAATCAAATTCCTGATTGTCTTGATGGTTCTGACATAATTTCAATGCTAAGATACGGAGTTATCGATTGTGATACTGCTAAACCATCATTTATTTGTGAAGAACTCATATGTACGCTTAAGAACTTTCTGACAAGCTCATGTACGTTTGAACGAATTCTCCTGTTATGGAAGGCGATTTATTCTACCAAAGACGAATCGATTTCGGAAGAATGTTGGGCAAGTATTGGATGCTTGTTCCGAGTACCAGGTTTTGAAAAGTCATTTTGTCAGAAGATTTGTGATTTAGTGTCATGTGCAAAGATAGTTAATAATACTTGTCCAGATATGTTTTATCTACCGAATGTTCCAATTTTCTTTGGTGACGTTTATGCTGCAGCTAGAAAAAGCGAGTTATTAAAGGATCTCTATGCATCTTGTGCGTCACTTTATATATGCTATAACAATTCTCGTTATGATGGATATTTCATTGATAAACCAAAGATTTTTTTCAATAATCGTACATGCTTTTCTGATGCTTGGGACTCACAGTGCAAGCTTTGGCCTTGGCCACTTTTATGGTCACCTGTTAATCAAGAATATCTAGTAGAACTTTACAACGGCTTAAAGAAATTCAGTATGATTCTTAACTATAATTCTGCAATTTGTAACCGATCAAACAGGTATCAGTGTACAAATTGGTCGAAATGTATATCTATTGGTCGTCTTATGGATGCCGTGCATGACTGTCCTGAATCAGATGACGAAGATATTTCGAAAATCAGTCATATTGGCTTAAAAAATCCTTTCAAAAACTATTTTAAATGTGAATTAGCTAATAAATATATCGAACAATACCGTTTTCAAAACCGACATTGTGATTGTCTCGTACAAGACTATCATTTTTGTGAAGATGAAGATTTACATATTTATTTTGTAAGAAAAAATATATCATTTCAAACTATTTGTGATCGATTTACTGAATTGACTCCCATTAATATTACAGATAAAAATGAGACTGATGAAACAGAATGTGAACAATGGCTCTGTAATAATATATATACTCGTTGTGATGGTTTATGGAATTGTCCACGTGGTGAAGATGAAATTGGTTGCGATTTATCAGCAACATTCAATTGTCCTTCAGGTCATCATCAATGTGTTTCGTCTCTCACGAATAAATTTACGTGCCTACCTGTTGACAAAGCAAATGATAACAACATTGATTGTGTCGGAGCTACTGACGAGCCATCGTTATGCCAACCAAAATATGAAGTATATCTTTACGATAATTTTTATTGTAGGCAATCAAACGTGTCTGGTTGTTACAGTAACAGTATTGTTTGCGATGCTTCGAAAGATTGCGATCATCGGGATGATGAGACCTTTTGTGTAACGAACCGAACTTCTAGCCAACGTTTTGGTATATGTCATAAATCTCATACATCTATCCGTTCTGATGTTGAACAGTTTCTCTGCGAAGAAACAAAACCCAAGACAAAACAACAAATTAAATACTTTTCCTTGAATGGACTGGACATGTCGGTCAAACATCAGTCGAAGACTGTGACAAAACCGTCGTCATCAATTTCATCTGTAAATGAAATATTTCATCTACCTGAACTTCAATGTCATCGTGGTTTTGATATACGTTTCTGGTTAAACAATCGAAAGAACATAACACGAAATACATGTCTCTGTCCACCTAGTTTTTATGGTGATATATGTCAATATCAAAATCAACGAGTTAGTTTGACTATTCAATTTCGAGCATTATCAGATTCTTATTCAACAGTATTTGCAATAATTGTTGCACTTATTGATGATAGTGAACAAAGAACTATTCATTCATATGAAAAATTAACTTATCTATCAATTCGAGATTGTAAAGTTAAATTTAACATTTATTTACTCTATTCGACTCGACCAAAAAATCAAACAAAAATATATGCAATACATATTGACATATATGAAAAACTTTCATTAAATTATCGAGGAAGTTTTTTATTTCCAATCAAGTTTCCATTTTTACCTGTTCATCGGCTACCATATTTAGTTGATATTCCTCGAAAAGAAAAAGTTCAAACTTGTTCAAATTCGAAATGTATTCATGGTAAATGTATCATTTATTCAAATAACCCACAGCACAGTAGTTTTTGTCAATGTAATCGAGGATGGTCTGGACAATATTGTACTATTTCGCATGTTTCTATGTGTTCATCAGATTCAATATTTATTGGTGTTTCGGCCTACAATAGATCTATATGTGCTTGTCCTATTAATAAATTTGGTGATCGTTGTCTCTTAGTAAATAACATTTGTCAAATAGATAATAATCTAAAATGTGAAAATGGTGGTCAATGTATACCTGCTGATGAATATACAATATCAAATAAAACATTTACCTGTATTTGTCCAAAAGGTTATAGTGGAGATCGATGTGAACTAGTTCATAATAAAATTGTTTTATCATTTGGTAAAGGTATTATTTTATCTCAATCGATATTTATTCATTTCATAGAAGTTATTAATAATAGTATACCTGGTAGAACGACTACTTTTCGAACAATACCTCTTCAACAAAATTCACTTACCATATATTGGTCACAACCATTTCATCTTATTTTTATTGAACTATTGAATAAATTTTACTATTTAGCTCTTATTCACAAAAACTATCAACGATCAATAACAATTAATACAACAATTCAACCATCAAATCGTTGTCTACACATAAATGAATTATTTAATCAAACATTTGTAAAAATGCATGTTCTTCGTCGTATTAAATATTATCATTTGCCATGTCAAAAATATTCATCAAATCTTTCTTGTTTCTATGATGATCGTTATATTTGTTTATGTTATAATTATGAACAACAACATTTAGCCAACTGTTTTGACTTTAATCATGATATGAAATTCGATTGTTTAGGTCAAAGTGTTTGCGAAAATGGAGGACAATGTTTTCAAGATATGCCAGATTGTCCACGACGATCAATGTGTATTTGTCCAAAATGTTTTTACGGAGAACGATGTCAATTTACTTCAAGTGGATTCGGTTTATCTCTTGATCCTATCATAGGATATCATATTCAACCACGAATTAGTCTTTTGTATCAGCCAACTATTGTAAAAGTTAGTTTAGCATTCACTATCATCTTTATGATAGCTGGATTTATTAATGGAATTTTATCTTTAATTACATTTAACAATAAAAATATATGTGAAACTGGTTGTGGTTTATATTTATTAGGTTCAACAATAACTACTTTACTCATAACGTTTATGTTTGGACTAAAATTTTGGATACTTCTTCTTGCACAAATGACATTTATATCAAATCGATTATTTTTAAAAATTCAATGTTTATCTCTTGATTTTATTTTACGAGTTTGCCTTGATATGGATCAATGGCTAAATGCATGTGTAGCTATGGAACGAGCAGTCACAATAATAAAAGCTGCTCGTTTTCGAAAGAAGAAAAGTAAACAAACAGCAAAAATTGTGATCGTTTTCCTTTTACTGTTTATGATTAGTACTTCAATATATGACCCATTTTATCGACGTTTAATAGATGAAGAAAATGAAGATATTAAACGAACATGGTGTATTGTTACTTATCCATCTCGTTTGAAAACATTCAATTCAATTGTTCATTTATTTCACTTTTTTATTCCATTTATTCTTAATCTAATATCAGCTACAATTCTTATAACAAAAAAATCTCATCAACAATCAAAAGTTCGAAGAAATATACGTTTCGTAGAAACTTTCAAAAAACAAATTCTACAACATAAACATTTATTTACTGCACCGGTTGCATTAGTTATTCTTGCATTACCACGTTTAATTTTATCATTTGTATTAAAATGTATGTCATCAACAAACGATTCATGGTTATTTCTTATTGGATATCTTATTTCATTTATTCCACCTATGCTCACATTTATGGTGTTTATAGTACCATCAAGATTTTACAAAGAGCAACTTCATAGATCTATGTTTGTTTATCGAAGAAAAATACAGCGACGACTTAAATATATTTGGTAAAAGTAAGTAATATGATATTCATTGTTGAAGATATGTTTTGAATCGATTTTTATTTGCTCCATTACGGTTGATTGATTTATTATTTTACATTGCTGCTGTAGATTTGTGAAAAAAAAATGAATGAAGTTGAACGTTTTAGTGTTATTATTAGATTTTTCATGCTTTTGAATCAATAAATATCTTGTGCCTATGGAAAAAGATGATTAAAATCTTTCGTATTTTAAATTTGTGCACACAATCTTGTTCGAGATGAATTAAACGTGTTCTATATACGGCACAGGGATTATTTTTATTGATGTTGTTGAATATTTCTTTTCAATAACAGATTTTGCTTAATCATGTAGAAAAATAACATATTATTTCTTCTTTAGATGATTCATTTGCATGTTATATGAAAGTAAAAAAGTTTAAACAATTTTATTGTTGTGAACATGGCTTTTTTTTATATGCTATATTTCTCTTGCTGCTTCATTTATTCTTCTTCATTCATTATAAATAAATACTAATTTTATCTTACATTGTTAAATGAATTACATTTTCTGTATCAGAAGATTGAAATTCATTGAGAAAACTTTTTTTCTACAAATGTTTGTCCCTTGTTGAACACTAAAGTTTCGAAAAACTTTCGAGACGCGACTGGGAACAATAGAGAAAAAATTATGTTCCAAGGTTTTTTTTATTCTTTTACTATTCCAAAACTTATTGTTGCTTTTTAATTGATGGTGTTGAATTAGTTAAAGTTAAATTAATTTGTCTTTTATTGCATATGTCAATGACTGAAAGATAAATTTCTGCTCATATGCAAATATTTCGTTTAGTAATTAAAAGAATATTAATCTTATCTGCATCTAAACTTTTTGCAATATCTAAATGACATAATTGAGATAAATTGAATGACAATTCAGATCGTACATTGGTTAGTTTTATTAATAAAACCAATGAATCACTCATCGATACTAACTATTGGTGATGTTTGTTTAAGAAATGGTACATTTTGAACTGTTGATGATACTTTTATTATAATAGCAAAGAAAGGTGAAAACGTGTTTGCTAAAAACAGAATTTAAGAGAATTTTCAGTTTATTATTTCTTTATTCTCAAAAATATGATGTGATACATTTATTCCTATACTAGCAGGTTTCTCACGAGGGTCCCAGGATGGGAAGTAAGAAGGATCTCGAAGCAGTCCTGGTGACGGGTCGCAAAATTTCTTCTGCATCAGATCTGATATTACTCTTTGTCTTCCAATCTAAAATATAACAACTTTTTGCAATCTTCTTAAAAAATTCGACTTTTTCTGGCAAATTGTCAAGAAAATTCCTCAACATTTGTGTCGTTGAATGCGACCACGCTGGGAACGATTGTCCTAAATTAGGCTGTTGGAAAGGAAAAATTAACTAAAGTGGGAAATTTTTTAAGTTAATTGCGGTTACGCAGCTGTTGTTTTTCGCGAAGAGAAATCGTTTTTCAGACTCATGAAAAACTCTTCTTTTTTCATATGTTTTTTGAAAGGAAAAGTGTTGTGACAGCTCTTAGAAATTTCATCGCCGAGGGCGGCTACACTAGTGACGCCTGTTCAAAAATGTAGCTGGTCAGAAGGAAGACAGCAGTAAAATTGCCATAATAATAGAAAAATAACGGATATTTTTAGGTCAAGTTACTGTGTAAGAATCATTATCCGACTTTTCTTCCCTCTTGGGACATCCCTTGGTGATATTTACGAAAATCTTTCAAAGCAATACTTCACAGACTCTATAAAAATCTATTGATTTTTATAGCTGTTTATGAATAATTTTCAATTATTATGGAGTGTGTACACTGTCCACTTTCGCGGGATCTGCATACTAGTGATCTTTCTACATAAATGCTTCTTTTTATTGGCGGTACAGAAAAAGCGTTGTTTTCTTCAACAGAATGATATCTTAATATTTCTTTCGATCAACGCGACAAACAGGGTTTTAAAAGACAATAAAAAATTCGGCACTGGACAATTGGAAATAGGGCACGAAAATGTTTGTCCCATGTGTGAATGTGTGACTTGGTATTTGATTCATCAGTCGCCACCCACATCCTCTTCTGTTCATATAACATCAGATGTCTGTCGAAATTAACAAAAAACGTACATAGACAAGCAAGACGAAAAAGCATACTTGTAATATACTTCTATTACTGTTGTCTTCTTTTGCTTTCATATATGTATCCATATATTCAATGAGTAAAATCAATATGAAGGTAGAATATGTAAACAAATGAATACTGAGAAAAGGTAAGTTTACTTTTTTTTTCTTTCTCTTTGCTTGATTGCATCTCATCAAGAGCATTTTCTCACTATCTGTCTCTCTATTTTGCAACGAATTGGTAAATGGCGGTGGAGAACAAATTGTCAAGAAATGGAAGAAAGATATTCTCGGAACTCGAGCTTGAGAAAGAGAAATTACAAAACTCGATTATTTTGTTGTTAGTCGATGAGTACATTGATGATGATGCAGCCGATCCGCTTATATCTCTAAATAAATACAATAGATAGGTTTCATATTTCAATCAGCTTATGTTACTACTCAGACACGTCTGTAGAGCCGGATCTGAAACGAAGTGCACACGAATCAGTGTCTACCAATTGGTTAAGATGAACTAAAAGAAACATTTGACAAATATTCAGCAATCAACAGCTAGTCATATGATAAACAATCCATCTATTTTGATTAATTTTTGAAGGGAATAATGCGCCAATATGGAGTATCAAGGTATGAAATGTATTATCAATTATAAGCAAAGAACTCTAAATCCAAGATACTAGGAAACATCATTTTAATATAGGTACAACGTCATTTACTAACATATGTGAAGCTGTCACAAACATTCCTTCTTGTATGAAGAATGATCGCTCCTCTACTGAGAAAATCTTCATATATTATTGCGGCTTTCAAGTACTGGATATTAATGATAAAGTTTGATTTAAATCTGTTCATCTTGATTATTGAATACCAATAATTGAATTTGATCTTAACATGAAAATAATTGTACGAAATTATATTTTTAAAAATGACAAGATAAAAGTCTTCACCGAATTAATAACACAATATTCTTCGTTTTTTCTAGCATCAACTTCATTAATCAAGTATAATTCAACAAGAATATAGCTTGAAAGATCTGTTTCTTAAAGATTTTCATCATGAAAATAGTCTTAACTTATTTGTTCAAATAAAGTATATTAAAACCCATAAAACTTTCCATCATATGCAAAATAATCATGTAAATGAAAATTAATCAGCAACTTGGCAACATATCATGATGAATATAGGTAGATTAATGTTAAGATGTTGATTGAAAAGAAAATACATATAGGTGTGAAACATTGCATTTCTGTAGTCGGTCATATACGCATTCGATCTCCACACTTTGCATGTTTTTTGCTGTGACAAAATCTGTACTTTACATCGCGATGGACTAGAGAACAGTGAGTCGTTGGAAATTGGTTAGAACTAGGCCAGAGAAATTATATCCCGAGACGATATAAAGGTTTTTGAATTTTTAATATGAGTTTTTGTTCATCTTCAGTAAATTCTAGAAAACGATAGTTTTGATTATTTCGCTTTCATCTGTTACCCGAGATAATTAAAATTTAATCGTCTATCGTTTTTATGTTAATTGAGATCACTTCGCATCATATTTATGCTAGCTTTCGCGAATTTTCTTTTTTTACTTCTAAGACATACGCATCGAAAGTTATTATTTTCTGTTGCGATAATCTCGAGAAAAGAAAGTCAGAAAATATGCAGATAAATGTTCTTGTACTATCTTATTCATGCAATGAAAAAAGTTATGGATTTGTAGAGAATCTTTTTCCATATGAAATTCTTATATTTACAATCAAAACCAATCATATTTCTTAAACCTTTTGCCTTTGTTACATTATAAATAGCAAGAATAAAAAACAAGCTTACTGCAGTCCCAGAAATAGAGTGAATATATATCTCATCAAACAAGGATGTGTCGATTAGTGGGATCAGCATTTAGTTGGCTTCTAGGACTTCGGTAAGTTTTCTATTCCTGTTATTATTCATAGCATAGCAAAGTTAACAACTTCCACGCTCTTCGACGTATGAACAAAACAGTATAACAAAGTCTATCTATGATCGAGATATATATGTATAGGAGACGACGAAAACAATTTTCCAACATAAATATTATGAAGATTATGTAGATCACAAGTTGTTCTATTAAATCATGTATTATAACAAAAATTTCAATTTAGAACAGGTGTGCAAGAATTTGTAAAATGAATAGTTAAATATTTTTGAAAGAATGAAAACCAACATGTTCTGATTGTATTGTCAATAAAAACTTAACAGACCATTGGATTGATCTGAAATTTTTTATTAATATACTAAAAACTGTAGGCTGTAACCTGTCGAAAATCAGATGATTCTAAGATCAAAGTATCTATTAATTGAATAATTTTGACATTTATTGTATATAGTGATAGTTCAAACAGTGTTATATAGTTATTAAATATTTCACTATTCTTCGATTAATGTGATTATATAAGAGTTTCGATCCAAACTTAACCATTATTTTCAAGCGAGAATCAATCACGACATAGCCATATTTATTTTTTCGAAGGTTAGACTCCACTTGTTTGAATCGTTGAAAGATAATATATGAATAGTTTCGTGAAAGTCGAAAAGAGGTTAAAGACACACAAGAACTTATCAGACCTATAGGAAATTAATCTGTTCGATAGTTTTTCGGATTTGCTAGCAGACTAATCTGATGAAATTGGTTTTCTTTGTCTGAAACATCGGCTGAGAACTTATATTACATCATGCAGTTATTATTATTTTATTAAACTAAGAAAATACAACATATCTCACACCCAATATGAATCTATATTCTTAATTGAATCACATTCAGATTGATATGATGTATATACAAGAACTTTGATGGAACATGTATTTGATTTCATTAATAAGATTTTACTATAGAATTACAGGAATAGTTTTTTTTAATTATAACATAAAATCAAGAGATAATATAAACAGAAAGAATTGATAAACTAAAGTATAGGTGAAAATGAGTTGACTCAATAGAAAGATATTTTTAGTTTTTAGTCATGATGACTTTGTTATTCAGAGTAACAGAAAACTTATACACTCAGATTTTATCTCGGGATTATGCACATTCAGAAACTTCACATTTTCAATAATGTGAATGTATGAATATGAATAATAGAATGAAAGTTGAAAATCAATTTTAAATAGTTAGAACATGAAGTTGACAGATAAATTAAAAATAAATGATACCAAGTATGCATTTGTAAATTAATTAGTAATGTGATACTATTCCGATTAAATTTTTGTCATCTATACTATTTATTTATTATCTAAGATATAAATATAATTTGTAAGAATTGCACAAAGAAATTTTTAATTAAATCAATAAACTAATCATATATATTAAGCTGTAATAATCTAATTATGTTTAATACATCTTAAGATTAGATCTAACGATTTAAAAATGTACGTTCGTAAATATAATTTTTATTTCACTATTATCTAGACTAAATAAAAGTAAAGTTTATTTTCATTTACTATTCATGTCTCATTATTTATTATAGAAATATTAATCAATAAATGTTATGTTTGTCATTATCTAAAATAATTGTAGATATTTTTTAAAAAAAATGTAATCAGATAAGATATTCAAAACTTTGTTATTTATCTTTGATCATCAACAAAGTCTTTTCGATCAAGAATAACAAACAATATGATTAGTCAGTAAGAATCTAAGATATGTATTCATTCCCGTTTTTGTTTTCATCTATATAATATCAACGTACTTTCTGTTTTACAATTATCCTAATGAAAAAATGTACTAAGTTTTGTTTCATGAAGGTATAACATAAACACTACCGGAAGTCTTATCATGTCATCTTTTTTGACAATGTTCTTTTTGTCATTGATCTTTAAATTATCTGTATACATATTTGCCCGATTTTCACCAGTCTTCATATAATCAGCTTGTAGCTCGTGGGATGAACATTATTTTGCACTCTTTTTTAACCATACCAATGCTTTACCTATTTTGAGATCTGAAGAAAAAATGAATCAATTTGATTACAACATATTCATAGCATATATTGATATTTTATGTATCAATAGTCTGTGAAACTTTCAAGTTAAAAATAAAACATGTTTATCTATCAGATTTCTAAAGGTTTAGTAACCTTCATATCATTCTATCTTATACCTTGAAAACTTATATGTATATTTTCTTATTTTAGAATGAAAAAGAAAACTAATAAAAAGATTGTAATTTGATATAAAAACGCATGTTCTATGCATGATTTATATTTTTAACATAGTAATTCATAGATTGTATCTTGATTCACAAAAATTTATATACACTTATTCAAATAGCTATAGAAAATATAGTTAAAATAAATAATCTTATTTTCCAATCACATATAGTTAATGAAAAAAATTTACCTATACATTTTTTATAAACTTCTTTGCAAAAAGTATATTTTTCAAAGTATTAATAATCAAATTCATCTATCATATATCAAACAACATCGGCTGACAGATTATCTGTTTACAAGATATATTCGATATATTATATATATTTATAATCTTTTTCCTGATTGGATAGTATTAATTATTATACTATATCTTTTGCTATATGCTTCTAGACGGGATTATTTCTTTATGATAAGTACCCTCCCTCTTTTCTGCTTTCAAATTTTTCAAGAAAAATTTTTAGTATAATAAGACTATCTTAAAAAAATATAGATCAACAAAACCAGTCTAGTTTCGACTGCTTGAGTTTAAGAGAAGTTATAATCTATAATATAGCCTTTCTCATCTATCAGTATTAATTTTTGCTTTTTATTTAAAGATAAACAACATTTACCTTTTTTTTCTTTTTGTCTTACAACGAATATATCATTATGAGTTCAAGTGAAATTCTTATTCAACGAATTACAAGAGAAATGTCTTTATATACACCAATAACTTTACTTATTTTTGGTTCATGTGGATCATTTTGTAATTTTATAACATTTACATCAAAACAATTAAAAACAAGTTCATGTGCATTTTATTTTTTATGTACGGCTATTACTGAATTAATAGCATTTTATTTTGGTCTTTTATCACGTTTAGCTGGTGATCGTTTGGGTAGTACACTTTTTACTACGAATTCAACATATTGTAAAATTCGATCATATTTAGTTGTTGCATTACCATCTTTAGTTACTTATATGATATTATTAACAACAATTGATCGTTTTATGTCAACAACAACTCAAGTTCGTTATAGATCATTTAGCCAATTAAAAGTTGCTCATCGTCTTGCACCATTAGTAATTATTATCTCAATGATATTATCAAGTCATATGTTAGTTTTCTATAATTTTTTTCCAGCATGTACAGCACAACCAGGAATATATTCGGTTGTTTATAGTGTTTATTTAATTATTTGGACTGGGATTTTACCAAATGGACTTATATTATTATTTAGTCTTTTAACATTTCGAAATGTAGTCAAAACAAAACATCGTGTAGGTGTAACAACAACAACAACAACAACAACAAAAATGTCATCGCAACAACGACATACACAAAGAACAGAATCACAACTTATTGTTGTAAATCATTGATTAATTGTAATGTAAATACTCATATAGTATTTATCTTTAATTTTTATTTAGATGATGCTTTCACAAGCAACATTATCAAGTTGTCTTGATTTAATACGTATTGCATTATATGCATATTTTGTTTTATCAACAGGTTTACCTAAATCAAATTATCATCGAACAGTAGATGGATTATTATTACAAATAAGTATTATTTTATTATATGGTAATTGTTCAAAATCATTTTATGTTTATACATTAACAAGTGGATTTTTTCGTAAAATATTTCGTCATACAATTTATTATTATTATAGAAAAATACTTTATATTTCACATATCAATCGAGATTATGATTGGAATTCAACACTTTTCGATCAATCAACTTTATATGCATCAACACGTCATCGTGAACTTCAAACAATTCCTGATCGTCAAATAACAAAATATTAAACATTTCTATAAATATATATATATAAAAGAACTATAATTATATAATAAAATAAAGTCTATTTAAAAACTATGATCTTTTAAAACAAAAACAAAAAACATGTTAGTGCCATATTCTAATAAAATATCTAGTCATAATTAAGACTAAATGCAAAACTTCGAGCTTTGTTATATTTTTGCATTTTTTTTTCCGACTAGTGAACCAACTTATATTTTTAATTTTATTCGAACAATAATTGAACATACTATACTGTCTAAAGGATGCTTTGAGCATCATATTTATTTCAATTATACTTATCGGTTTTAAATCCTATAAAATTTTCTACTCGATGGATGACATTGTCAATTCAGTGATGATTGAAAGTAGTTTCATATTCTATCGAGTTGTCATTACCTCAATAGATTTCGAAAGAAGAGTTTAGTTTGACCAAGTACGAATCATTATCAGTCTAATAAAGCTTTATGAAATCGAGTGTTATCAGAATATTTTATACTATGAAACTGTATTAGTTCGATATAGTAATGTGAATATAGTTGTATTCGTAATCAATATTAGTATATATATATTTTTTTTTCGAAAATTTTCTACGGAGCCAATGTCTGGATACTAGTTTAATTAGCTAATTTGAAATGATGATTTAGTTATTTTTTTTTTATCTAAAGTGTTGAGCTCACTAGAAAACAGAGGTTTAGCTTAAGTAATTTATCAAAATAAAATGTCATATTATGAAAAATACGTTTGTTAACTGAAAAAAGTTTGACTATAAGAAAAAATATTTTGGGAAATGATTTTGTGATAATTATTTATGATACTTTCATCACCATCAAAGATTATCAAATAACCCATTGGCAATATTTTCCCATTCATCATTTTGTTAACAATATTGAAATATTCGACCTGCGGACAGATTCGAGTTGAACTTTGAAGAGTGTCAGATTTCATTGAGTGCATTTTTTTTCAAAACGATTAGTCATTCTTTGTGTACTTATTCACAACGTCGTCGACCATATGATCTATCAATACCATGGTTCCATTAAAGTTTTCAAAAATGACAATTAATAATACAAGCTGTTATGATATGTTGTTGGTCATGACATCTATTCTTATGTTTATTTCTTTTTCACTTCGTTCTAGTCTTTGTTTGTTTTTCCTTTTACATATATACATTCTTTTTGTTGAATAAACAGGCAGTCAGTTATGCTTCAACATAAAATGAACTCGCACGTCCTTAATATTAAGTGCAAATAAAAGCATAACAGTGGTGACAGCGGTTTAGAAAAAAAAAAAAAGATTTTTTCTTTTTTAAGTCAACGACGGTTATAATTTCTTAAAGAAGGAATCCTTCTTAATTAGGAGTTGATTCTGTCCTACGTATTCAACGACGAAACTTAATTTTCAATTATGACTAATGTTGATTCACCTTCAAATTTGAATGAAGATACAAAAACAATCGAAAAAACGATGCAACCAGTTCTTACAACACAAGCACAACATATAAGTACACCAAATGAATCAGTACGTCGACATGTTCGAATTTTAGCAGAAGAAGAAAGAATTAGTACAGATAAATGGTTATCCATATTGAATCAAGTTTATGATGATTTGAATTATTCACCATCACAGCGTATAGCCTATGCGGTCAAATTTTTAGATGAAGAACAAAAAGCATGGTATGAACAAAATAAAGATGAAATTAAGAATGATTGGACATTATTTCGTGAACGATTAGAACACAATTCATCTAATCATAAATTAATTCGAACAACTGCTCCGTCGATTAATACTTCAATATTAAACAATACGGGACGAGTTGTACTTGAAGACCTTATCGATGAAAAGTTTGACAAATATTCAGGTGCTGGTGATGCAAGAAATTGGTTATTGCAAACCATGAATCAGTTTAAAGCATGTGGTTTACGACGTGATGATCAATTTGAAGCTATACCTTTATTATTAGAGGGCGATGCTTATTTATGGTATGCTGACAACAGCGATGCAATTTTCAACTTCGAAACATTTACCAAGTTATTTCTTCAACAATTCAAATCAACGATATCATCATCAACAAGTTTTACAGGGGGTACGGGCACATTAGTGACCACAGTACCTGATCACTCATCTATATCACATTTACAACGAACCGTGGCAGATGAAATTATTAAGAAACCAACATATTTTCGTGGTTCACAAGATGATGTACATGATTGGTTAGACAAGTTAGAACAACGTTTTACAATGGCAAACTGGAATGACGAACAAAAATTACGATATATTTCTATACATTTACAAGATGATGCATACAGATGGTGGATGCAAACATCCACATCAATTAAAACATGGTTATCATTTATTACAGCTATTACACAAGCTTTTGGATCAACAAAGGTACAAGAAATTGCATTTGAACAGTTAAAATGGTATAAACAAACAATTAACCAATCCATTACACAATATTATGACAAAATTATTGAATTATGTAAGAAAGTTGATCCTGTGATGCCTGATTCTTTGAAATTGAAATATTTAATGGCTGGAATTAAAGAATCATTGAAGACGCATGTTGCATTACAAGATCCTCAAACAACAGAAGCATTTTTATTATCGGCAAGGAAGATTGAAGATGTATTATCACTCACCAAAACAAATAATGAATTACCTGATAATGACATCACCATTATTAATTCAACTGGTTATCAAAATCAATTATACGATCAAGCAACATTCACCCGACCATCAAACAATAAATTTAATAAAAAAAATTCTGGTTATGCAAATGCAACACAAACTCGTACAACCTCTAATAAAAATACAACAGTTGGAAATAACGCAAATCGACAAAATAAATTTTCAAATTCTACAAGATCAACACAGAAATTGGGTGTTTGTTACAATTGTGGTACTCCTGGCCATTATGCCCGGGATTGTACCCGTCCCCATTTTCAATAGGGGAAGCATCGGTCGATGGTGTTGCTTCCGAAAATTTACATATCAATCCATCGACATTAAATACGTCCCTTTTATATCTTAATGTTTCTGTAAATGATAAATGTATGAAGGTAATGATAGATACAGGTGCAAATAGAACTTTTATCTCAATTAAATCATTAGATCCATCATCAGGTAAGATGTTTGTTAATAAATTACATAAGCGTGTAATTTTAGCTGATGGATGTTCGTCTATTTCTGTTTACGGTACATTAAATTTATCTATTATTATGGGTGATACATCAACTTCTATTAAAGCATTTGTTGTTAAAGAATTATGTGCTGATTGTATACTAGGAATGGATTTTATCAACAAGTATAAACTAATTATAAATACGGAAGAAAAAATTGTTTCACTGTATAATAATTATAAACGTACAACATTAAAATTTGATATTAATTCAAATGAAAATAAATATCCAGCACGTCTAATTAATAATATTCGAATTCCACCAAAACAGACAAGGTCTATTCCTGTTTCTATTGAACTATTATCAGCTAATGTAATATTTCGTCCATCGTTTAAATTACGACAACGAACATCTGTACTCACGTTAAATTCTTCATTAAAAGTCCATGATTATACCTCGAATGTTTCACTTTATAATCCAACAGATTATTCATGTTCATTACCGAAAGGTTTAATACTGGGAACAACTACTATTCCTACACTATCTTTTAGTAAATGTACATCTATTGATCATCAATTAGTTAATGATAACATCAATAAATTAATTCGACATATTACAGATTCAACACAAAGAGAAGAAATCAAGACAATCCTTCATCAACATGAAAAACTCTTCGATACAAGTAAACCTGCAATAGCTATTAATGTGAAACCGCATGAAATTAAAACACTTGATCATCCTCCACCATCATCTAGACCATACTATTCAACACCTCACAAAGAAGAAGAAATGTACAAGATCGTTCAAGAATTATTATATTATGGTTTAATTCGTAAATCTTATTCTCCATTCGCTGCACCAGCATTATTAGTGGCTAAACATGATGGATCATGGCGAATGGTAGTCGATTACAAAAAATTAAATAATATGACAATTAAAGACAATCATCCATTACCTAATATGGAACAAACAATACGACGATTAGGTGGTGGTTACAAATTCTTTTCAAAATTAGATATGAAAAGTGGATTTTGGCAAATACCAATTAAAGAAGAGGACAAACATAAAACAGCATTCATTACAGCTGATGGATTATATGAATGGAATGTATTAGCTCAAGGTTTGAAGAATAGTCCACCATCATTTCAAAGAGTAATGGCCGATATATTATCTCCTTGTCGACAATTTTCATTAGTTTACATCGATGATATTGTGGTATTCTCTCGTTCATTTGAAGAACATCTTAATCATCTTCAACAATTATTATGTATTTTATCCAAGTATAATTTTCAACTCAATCCACCAAAATGTAAATTATTCCATCAGAAAATTGATTATTTATCTCATATTATATCTGAAGGAGGTTTTCAACCAAATAACGAAAGAATTCAATCAATTATGAAATTGAGGGAACCTTCTACGTTAGTAGAAGCGAATAAGTTCCTGGGTGGTTTATCATGGTATAGGAAATTTATTCCACGATTTGCATCCATAGCTGCACCTATTCACAAAGTAACAAATTTAACAAAAAACAATAGAAAAAATTTTAGATGGGAAAAGCCACAACATGAAGCATTTTTACAATTGAAACAGTTCTTAATAACTTCTCCATTATTTCTTGATTATCCAAATGATAATTATCCAGTTATTATGACAACTGATGCATCGAAAGTTGGTATTGGAGGAACCTTACAACAGAACATTAATGGTGAAATTAAGAATCTTTATTATCATTCACAAGTAACATCTTCTACTCAAAGGAGATATGATCCGATTGAATTAGAAGCACTAGCAATATGGATGTGTTTCCAACGTATGCGATCTTATTTATTAGGAAGATCAATTATCATTTATACTGATCATTGTCCATTATGTAACATGATGAATTCAACAGTGAAGAACCGAAGAGTTGATCGTATATCAATATTATTACAAGAATTTAATATCGAAAAAATTATCCATATTAAAGGTCAACACAATTGTTTAGCTGATTATCTATCCCGTCATCCAATTCCAAGAGAAGAAGAAATATTTGATGAAGATTATGGTATTGCTAAACGCGGTAAAGGGGAACCGACTGTTATGGGTCGTGTTCCTGATGATACTACACCACTAGCTGGAGCAGTTATGACAAGATCCAAAGTGAAACAACTACAATTAAAACAAGATCAAAATTCAACATTACCATCAATAGAAGAAGAAACTGATCAAACGAAAGAAGATTCATCAGAAATTAATGCAAAAAATACACTGGATATAGAACGATTAAAAATTGAACAAGGAAAAGATTCGATTATTCAACAAAAAATTGCAGAAGTTATGAAAAATCCAGTAAAAAGTTCTTATGAATTCAAAGATGGTTTATTATTTAAGCTAATGATTATGCGTGAAGGTTGTAATACAAAAAAAAAATTAATTTATTTACCTTCATCTATGATTAATGATCTTTTACAAGTTTATCATAGTGACCCTCTTAGTGGTCACTTTGGAGTTCAAAGGACATATTTGAAAATTAAAAATAAGTATTGGTGGCCAAACATGAAACAATCCATCACTCAATACATACAATCATGTTTACCGTGCCAGCAATATAATATTAGTAGATCGAAGAAACCTGGTCGTTTACAACCAATTCCACCACCTGAAGGACCATTCCAATTAATTGGTATGGATTATTGTGGTCCATTTAAACAAACTCCACGTGGTAATAAATATGTATTATGTCTTACGGATTACTTCACAAGATGGGTGGTTGCTGCTGCTGTACCTGATTGCTCAGCTCAGACTACTGCTGAAGCATTATTTAATGAATTCATTTGCAAGTATGGGGTACCGGCAGTCATATTATCCGATCAAGGAACGCACTTCCACAATCAATTAATGGAAGCTATGTCAAAATTAATGGGATATAATCACATATATTCAACCACATACCATCCTCAATCAAATGGAATGATCGAAAGATTCAACGCGACATTTGTTCCTCAAATTGCCAAACTTGAAAATAAAGAAAACAATAATTGGGATGAATTTCTGTTACCTGTGGTATTTGCATACAATACAGGAACACACTCAACAACTCAATATTCACCATTTCAATTATTATTTGGCAGAGAACCAAGATTACCTACTGATGAACAAAAATCTTCATTTACATTTCGTAAACCAAATGATTATTATGAACAATTAAAGAAAAGTATGAAATTGATACATATACATGCTCGTGAAAATATTATTCGAAAACAACATCAATATAAAACTCAATATGATAAACGACGTCCTGATCCTCATTATGCAATAAATGATCGTGTTTTAGTTAGAAGACATGGATTAAAAAATAAATTAGATCCAAAATTTTCAATTACACCACAACTTATTATTCGTGCACAACATCCTGTTTACGTTGTTCGAGATGAAATAACTCAAGTTGAAACACGAGTACATATAAATGATATTAGACCCATTTATATTTCAAAATTAAATTAAACAAAAAAAGTAAAATAATAATAAAAAAAAAAAAAAAAATCAACAACAACACATTCATTAATATTATATTAATATTCTTATTATATTTTTTTTTATCATTTTTATTATTTATTGATTGATAAATATTTCTTATTAATGTTGGAAATGAATTAGTTTAATGATGTTTATGTTAAACCAAATTAAACGTATGCGCAGCGATTGATATGGATTAACATTTATCATCTATGAATTGGATTAATTGATATTTTAAAATACGCGTATTAAGAAATCAATTTTATCATCAAATCCAAATGGAAAATTAATATTGACAATATTTACAATTACAAAAAAGAAGGATGAATCATTGATGGAAACTTTCTTGAAAGGAATGTTTCTGAATAAACCAATCCGAATAATTGTTAATTCGTCCTTATGTTAATGACACCTGTGGTCAATAATATATAACAAGTGAATTTTGTTCAATAATGGATTACCAAGGGCTATTGGTCAATATCGTCTTCAAATGAATACCCTTTATTTTATTTATTATTTATAAGTTTTATCATATGATTCACTAATTCAAGATATCGTGAAACAGTTATTATCCAGTGATTCACTTCAACTTTCGATTTGTTTAATTGATCATTTATTTACATTAAATTATCATCATGTCCAAATCAAATTATTCATCTCAACGTTCATCATCTCGTTCACATCATTCATCATCTCATCGTTCACCATCACATCAATTACATCGTTTATATTTACATGAAAAATATTCAACATTTCATGTTCACTCGTCAGATTATGAAGTTGTATTTGTGAATAACGAAACATCAACAAATACAATGAACAAATTATTGAAACATGTGAATACATGCAAACAATATTCGATAGACACCGAATCTGAACGAGCAAACAATCAATTATCATTAATACAAATTAATTCAATAAGAAGAATTATGAAGTATTTAAAAGGTGATCATTAATTGGGACAGTGACTTGTTCCTATATATTTTTTTTCTCTGCTTTTTCTTTTTCTTCAACTGTCAGATTTTCTTTGTTTGTTAAACAGTTAATTTTTTTTCTCTCTTTCTCCTTTCTGCTCATATGTCTTTTGTTATTTTTTCTTGCCAAATGTGATCAGATGTTTTCTATTTTTTCTCTTATTGTTATTTTTTTTCTCTCTCGCCTAAAAAGCGTTTTGTGTACAAAACACTTTTTCTTCAAGGGGAAGGGTGTTATGATATGTTGTTGGTCATGACATCTATTCTTATGTTTATTTCTTTTTCACTTCGTTCTAGTCTTTGTTTGTTTTTCCTTTTACATATATACATTCTTTTTGTTGAATAAACAGGCAGTCAGTTATGCTTCAACATAAAATGAACTCGCACGTCCTTAATATTAAGTGCAAATAAAAGCATAACACAAGCATAGAAAATGTTTTTAATTCAAACACGCTCTATGCAAAGGAAGAATATACCTGCCTTTCGGGTACCTTGAGGTATGATGTGCTGCCTCGCAGCTAATTGAATGGTCTGATATATTCTCTACAACTAATATTGGTTATAATCCTGGATAGAAGATCAACTATATGACACAACGTAATCTTCATGCCATCGGGTAGGTGATTTGAGAAACATAGTCGTTAGGGACTTGTTCAAGGTCATTTCATGAATGATAGTACTGAGGTTACAATATCGTATCTTGTGGATATGTGTTGAACAACATAACCACTATGCCATGGGGGATAAATTTACTAAAAGACGGTAGATGTTAAGAATTATTTGACTGTATAGTTTTTTGTTTCAGAATAACTCTATCAACAAACGATTGTGATTAATATTTTTGAAAAATTATAAAACAATACAGTAATGTTATCCTAGTTTCTTAATAAACTTGAAGCGTAACATTTAATGTCTTACAATTGAATAGTATTGTATTCAATCAATAATTTACCTAAATTTCGAAAGATTTGCTGATACTGTATACAAGAATAATAAATTCTAAAATCATTTTAGAACTAATAAAATTCGTTTGATACCATTTTCATATATATATATATATTTCATAATAAAAATTTCAAAATTTTAATGAATAAACAATTTAAAAAAATAAAATATCAAGTTCAATGTCAGATTCATTGTGATACTAATTTCTTAGTGTAATATATATTTCTGTTTGTTTCATAACTGTAATGATTTTCATGAAAAGTGAGACGATTCATATATGATTCGATGTATAAACCTTGAGTAATATTTATTACGTTGTTCCCATACGTCATTTCTATACTGAATTACATTCCTTCAATTCAGGTATAAACAAGAATATTAAATGAATTATGTTAGCCTATAAAAATACATCAATGACTCTTTGATAGGGTACAAGTAATAGTTACAATTTTGACAATAGCAAAATAATTTTGTACTATGTCGTATTTTGCCTGTGAAGGACAATTGTTCGATTTACATTTCATAATATAATTTATCTTGAATGTGAATATAAAACAGAAAAAAATATTATAAAATATTCATATGTGTTAAAATTAATAAGAAAAATGAAAAATATGAAGAAATTTGAAATTTATTTTAATTTCTTAAAGGTAAAAATTAGTTGTAATTTCTCTTTGAATATATTCTTCATCTTATAGAATCATTTGATAATTTTGTTTTTTTTTTAGAAATATGAGATTAATAAGATAGAATTTTATTCAGAAAATGAGAATAATAAAAACACCGAACAAACCATAAAAATAAAACTATCACCGGTATAGAATAAGTTCGATGAACAAGATGTTCGAATATTATAATTAATTATATCACTTAGAGAACGATCAAAAATTGTATAATTAACAATAATATTAACTGTATAATTTGTATTCGATTGTAAACTAGTAAATCGATAAGGTTGATTTATATATGTACTATTTTCTGTTGAAGATAATAATGTTCCTGTCATACCATTATTAATCAATTTTACAATAGTTCCATTTCGTACGTATGGTAAATTCTTTAACCAATTAACATTTATAATAAACGAATTTAATGAACTATCTGTTTGCGAAATAATTACAAATGGTGCTTCTGGACATATTGATGAATTTATTCGTAGACATGTTCTTTTTAGTTGACAAGTTTTTTTAATAAGAGGTATAGTTACATTTATATTTGTAGAATTTGATGAAAAACATATATAATAAAAAGCATTGACAAAATCAAAATTTTTTGTTAAATTTGTTATAGTTTTATTTGTTGATATAAATGTATAACTTATTGAAGTATTTATTGGACCATAATTAAAATAAAATTCATAAAATTCAATAACAATTTTTATTAAATCAGATTGATCATATGTTGGATTTGCAAATTCCCATGTGATAGTCAAAGCTGTTGAATTAATGGCCGTAACTGCTATTAATTTTGGTTCTGTCAGTGGTATATTAGTTTGACTATGACAGAACAATACGTATGAAAAAAATAAAAGAAATATGTAAAAGAAATTCCACCAGTTATTCATTAGTTTTTCTTTAAACACCTATACCATCAATAAAAAGAGCTACATATATATATATGCGACTAAAACACTCAGCATACCTTTTTTTTTTTTGCTCGTCAACTCATTTCAAGGTTTACTATAGTGGAAGAAGGACATGACGAGACGAAACAGTTGTTATCAAACGAGATATGGTTTTTCTTTTCTCTTTTGTTTAATTGACAATCAAGTTCACCAATATATATGTATGTATATCAATTAATAATAATTTTTATGTTAAAAATTGCGTATATTATATGAAAGGTTTTATGACAAGTGAATATAAGTTGTACAAATGAATCGAATAGGAAAGGAGAAGATCCACAATGAATTTTCATTTTTTCTCTTTTTTTTTTTTTGGGTGTTGACATTAGTAGTAGAAAATGAATGAATGCAATAGTTATAACGTCCTTCTTATTCTACTTACTATGCATATAACAACAATCAGAATGGTTTTTTTTTTCTTTTAAAAAATATATCAACTAACAAGGTCAAATGAACCCTTATGTAGACGAAAGACTACTTTTCTATTCGTTATATTTAAGATTTATTATAATACTTATATTAGTTTTTTTTTATGAACTTAATAATGAAGAAAAAAAAAAGAAAAGAAACATTTGATTGTTGAGAGTTAGAATTTGCTTAAAATTAATCGATATCCAAATATTTGATTTATGCAATGTGAGACGGTATTCTTTTTTTCTTCTTATTGACAAACATTTCATATAAAAAAAAGTTTAATACGTTCGTCTTTCTTTTATAATAAAAACGAATATTTGTATTAAATTTATGATAAATTATTCTTTCGATAACCTTGCATATTAATTTATTTAGCTGATGCCAAATAAAAACAGGAATATAGAAATCAATTCGTATTTTGATATAAACTTTTATTGTATTCTATGTTTATAATACGATCACTTGAAGATGTATCCATTATGTATAGTAAAATTCCCATTGTCGAATATTAAAGATATTGGCTTCTGTAATTGTGTTATTTAATTTTGTAGTCAAAAGATACTTTTTTTCTTTATGTAAGGAATAATAAGTGTTTATGTTATTATTTATCTTGAGTAATATACTTTTCGAAAAACTTAAACCTATTGAAGTATTGATTATATCATCAAGTTTCTTTTCTTTTTTGTCAAAACCTATTAGAGATTGTTTAGATGTTACATTAACACTTCTTTAGGAATTTTTGAATTACATAATGAATATTATTATGATAAACACTTACGTATGTTTGTCCGTAAAATGAGCATAAAATGGGAATGATATGCATTTTTAGTAATAGAAAAAGCTTATCAACACAGCTGCTTTACAACTCAAATGTGCAATTCACATGTCTTCATTATCTTCACTGTACTAATACAAAATATGTCAAGTGAAAAATTTTCTAATAGATAATAATTATCTTTCAAGGATAATCGATTTGTCTTATTCATTTCTGCATTGCGAATGCAATTTTCTTTTTTTTGTTGATGGATTATTTTTAATTTTATTTTATAATTAGTAGCTCACTGTTTTTTGCTTGATTTATTTGTTTGACTTCTATTAATATGGTTGAGATTGGAAAAAAAATTCAATTTAGTTAGAAATGTTTATTATTATTTTTACTAAGTTCCTCTGTTGTTTTATGACTCTGTCTCTCAGCTTTTTCATCTGTTTTGATGGCTTCGTTGATGATTACTTTGTTGTTATTGATGATCCGCAAGTTTTATGATCGGTAATTAAAGTGACAAAAACCAAAAAAAAAGAAAATAACATAATTCTTTTACTGCTTTCTACTGTAACAGACGATAGCAGCACATATACAATCAACACAACTGAAAAAATATTTGTTACTAAAGTTCATAAAAATATCTATCATAATCCATAATAAAAGTAACAAAACTATTTTTATCAAATAAAAGCATTTATAATATGAAAATTAGTGACAGCAAAAAGGAAAAAAAATTTCCACTTGCATGGTTTAATTAGATTAGTGAAGCATTTGACTCAGTTTACATTTGCATTCTTCATTGCATGAAATACGTATTTGAGAATCAACTAATTGAACTCTTTATTAAGTATTAACCAGATCAATACTTAAAAATGTTCTTGCGGCTAGTGAAGAATAGAAGAGAGACACGAGCGGAAGGTAAAGTGTTACACTTCACAACTTGAAAAGCATGAACATTTGTATGTAGGGAATTTACAATAGCTTTTTAAGAGAAAGATGAACGTGAATAGTAGAAGAAGTGAAAGAAACATTGAATCGATAACAGTACAGAGAAAACAAAAGGATCAAGTGACTAAGTAACAAACTATTACTAATTATATGACAAGAGACACTCCTAAGTTCCTGATTTAATGGATGTCCCAATGAACATCTCTAGTTTCAATATGCTGTTATGTATTTTGATAAATTTAAAAATACAAATATTGATTATTTTCGAAGGCTAGAACTTGATCGCTTTGTGTTGAGTAAATGATAAGTGTACCAAATGAATAGATTAGTTGGTATCGTCTTTGAATTATTTATCTACAGAAAAATTTTGTATCTTTACATAGCGCTTCAATTGATTAATTGTTGTTGAGTCGAGATTATGATGTAATTTTTTATGACTTGTCAATAATAACAAAAATAGTTTATTGTGAAAATTTTCAAATCTTTTCTTTGTTTCTATCTTAAGATACAGCTATAATAAAAGCTTGTTGTTTTATACTTCTCATCTACTTCTTATTTTCCTTTGACATAAAATATTTGAAAGTATATGATTTTCTTCATCTTTGAGTTTTCTTAACATTTTCAGTCAATTTAAGAGTTCAACTTTTACATCTAATAGCAATATCATATATAAACAAGTTCTTAGATCATAGATTAATGTTATGCACAAAGAAAAACTATTGCATAATTGTAACATTAAAAAATTCTTTTTTTTATAAGAGTTTATTTGTTATTCAAAATAATAAACATAAAATCTTATACAAATTTCTTCTCTTGTTTATTCATAACTGTTTCTTTCGTAGATTGTCTTTTTGATGTATTGACTGTTGTTTGTTTATTATCTGTAGTTTTATAAACAAAAAACCAATTATCAGGTCGTTGAGCTAATGTAAGTGGTTTTTCATTAAAATATGGTATTAACCATACATTTTTTGTATATTGTGCTTTTAATTTATATGCCATTGGTTGCTAAAAAGAAAATAGGTTTTCGAAAAAAAAACAAAAATTAAAATAATTATATAACATAAAATATGTATATTTTACTTTAAAATAAACTCGATTTCCTTGTCGAACAAACATATATTGATAACGATAAAGCCATTTTTGTAATTTATCATTAACTTGAGTATTTTTTGCTGGTGTAGACTTATTTGCTATTCCACGTTCTTTTCTTAATATATCAGATGTTAAAACATAAGCTCTGGAATATAATGCAGCATATAAAACAAACCAATCATCACGAGAACTATTCATTTACAAAAAAGAAAACAATATTCTTTATTTTAAAATTAAAATCAATAATATTTTTTTTTTACGTATTATCAACTAGAAAAACTTCACATATTGAACGTAAATTTTTTTCAATTTCAAATGGTATACGAGATAATGCATGTTTACGTGCAATAAATAACATTTGTGTTCGAGGTACACGTAAATTTTTAAGAAAATTTATTGTCTAAAAAAAATCAAAGATATTATTTGTTATAGAATGAATGATGATTTTTCTTTTTTTACCTTAATCATTGAATTAACTGGATCAGTAGCAAATCGATCAATACCATAGAGTATATTTAAACCATCAACAATCATAGTAAATTTATTTCGAGCAAGAACTGATTTCAATTTTTCAAATTCAACTGGTGTTGTAGTCTTTGAAATAAAATATTCAAATTAATATTTCTTTTCATACAAAAAAAAACTGTCAAAAAATTCTGTTTTGCTTTTGTTTTACTAGAGAAGGTCTCTAACTGATGATTCGTTTTTCAGATGAGATTAGAGTCCGCTGGATTCAACATTTTTGAATCTGACGTGAGGTCAATCCAAGGAACACTAGTCAGGATTATGTGAATCGTGCAAGCGTTAATGAACTATGAATACTCGACAAAGATTTCATATTCTGAACTTTTTACTGTATGAATACTGAAGCAAGAGGGTGTTTTTTAATTAACGGAATGATCCCTATAAGAAACGTCAGAATTTGAAAATCAATTTTCCTGACGTTCATAAGATATGCCACAGTATTGAGTTAAAAAATTCTGTACTCCTCCATAAGCCCGTAGTAAGAAGCTAAAGATTCGAACTCTTCTTAGGATATTCATAGTTCATGACAATTTCCACAATGCATTCAATTCCAAATTAATTTGATTTTATTGAATACTCTTGTTTAAAACTTCTTTAGATCTATTCAATTCTCAAAAGACAAATAAAATCCAATCACAATATTTTTTTTGTCTTCACACAAATCTTTGATTATTATTATTTCTATTCTATAGCCATCAAAGATTATCACATGTTCTTATCAAGTTTTGATTTTTTTTTAAGACTTACATTATAAACTTCTTTTGCAGCATAAGCAGTTTCCATTAGATAGTTAAGTAAAAAATTGAACTCATCATCACTTAAATCACCACTTGCTAAATTTAAACCAGGTAATTGTTTGCAAGCACCACTAAATAGAAATATTTGAGAATATACGGAAAAAAAACATTGTTATTGTTTTACCTTGGATATACAATGGTTATACCATAATTGAATGTATTTGGTTTATATCTATATACAAAAAATAAATATTCAATATTTAATAACAACAAAAATTTACTTTGCAAAAAATATTTTCATTTCATCTATAGCTGATTTTTCAATAAAATAATCTAATGTAGATAAATAATTAAACAAATTTTGAATAAATTCATAAGCATTTTTATTATTTTCATTTAAATTTCTAAACATATCTCGTACCATATCATTCAATGAACTTGATATTGTTGCAGCAGCACTATCATTTGGTGGTGGATTTTTAAGATTTTTAACTAATTTTATTGCTGTATCAACATCATCATTATGTAAAGCAGCAAGAATAACACTAGAAATATAAATCTATTCTTTTTCAACATTTTTCATTCTTCAAAACAAAAAAAAAAATTTTCAAACAACTAACTTTGTCATTGCTTGTAATTGATCATCATCATTAGTAAATGGTAAATAAGAATAAGCTTCATGCCAAAGTCGTGTTACACATAAACCTTTAATTATTCCTAATGCAGCTGCTGATGCTATGATTGACTGAAAAAAAAATCGTGTATAACTATCAAAGTCAATAAATTGTTTTGATTTCTGAATAAAAATGTACGAGACCGAGGCTTTTTTTCGTCTCTAGTTCCGCTAATTTTATTCTTAAAGTCATAGGGTTTAATTTAATTAGAAATTTATGATTGGTGACATCTATGTTGTACTCTGGGCATTAATGCGATCTAATGGCGTATCCAGGATTTTTTGGTATGCTGGATTTCAACTTCAGAGCATGGGACCCACGTGAAACTTATAGAGATATGATATTGGGTCCAAATGATGAGTTTTTATCAAAAGATTTTTGTAATGGGAGTTTGCGAAAAAAATTAGCATTTTCCTGAGCCTCATCAAGATTTTTCTTTTTCTATTAGTAGTATTCTGATTTTTAGCATTTAATAGTAAGCTATATCGAAATTCATCGGCAGATTTCAAATTTCACCTAAAAATATGCATCCGTTCACGAGTTACAATGTTTTGAATTTTTTCTAAAATTTTAGCAGCATGCAGCAAATTTTCAAAACATTATAGCTTGTGAACGGATGCATATTTTTAAATGAAATTTGAAATCTGTCGATGAATTTCGATGTAACCTACTATTAAATTCTAAAAATCAGAATACTACTAATAGAAAAAGAAAAATCTTGATGAGGCTCAGGAAAATGCTAATTTTTTTCGCAAACTCCCCTTACAAAAATCTTTTGATAAAAACTCATCATTTGGACCCAATATCATATCTCTATAAGTTTCATCTGGGTCCCATGCTCTGAAGTTGAAATCCAGCATACCGAAAAATCCTGGATACGCCACTAATGCGATCCATCATAGTTACCTTTGTAATCCAATAATAGTAGCGTCACAATGCAAATAATCTATATTCTTCGTGACGTGTGTATATACAAATTTTCAAATTTCCAGCATATACAACAATGATCGAGATCGGCTGAGATGGAAACTTTTGTTCGCTGCTCTAACTATAATCTTTAAGTTCTAGTTCTAATTGCATTTTTAAAAATTTGTCCGCAGGGATGTTTAGAGTTGTGAAAACTGAGGGGCGGATTGGATGATTTTGTCGGAGACAGTTCCTCATAATTAATAGAATAGAAGGCAATTTTTTAAATTCATTTGACATATCCCTATTTGCCAAATAGAAAACTTTAGTTGGTGAAAATTAAGCGAGTATGAAATTGCATGATATTTCGTCTATTGAAGAATTCATATGAATTCAAAGAGAAATATAGACGAAGCCCTTTTTTTTTTAAGTATTTCTATAAACTTAAAGTTCGTTGTTTGATAATTTTTGAATAAGAACAAAAAAAAACCAATGTTATTCACCTGTTTTTTATCTTTAATAAATTTTTGATAAATATCACATAATTCTTTTTCATATGGTGAATAATCTTGACCATGTTTTTTTCCAGTTAAAGTAAAAAAATCTAAAGATAATAAATTCATATATGCTGCATAAGTTGTTACTGTTGATGTTAATAAATCAGGATAATATTTTTGAATAAATTCAAATAATGATCGACCACGTTCAATATGTTTTAATTGTACACAAACAAGCATTGTTATAGAAGCAAATAATGGTTTTGTTGCATCTCCAACAATATTATATAATTCTTGCCATTCATTATTTGATATCCAACGATCTTGACATATAGCTAATTGTTGTTCAAGTATACATCGATAGTGAAATGGAAATTTAACCATACGTTCAGATAGAATAAGTTCATTATTTAAACAAGCTATATTATTTGCATCAGATTCATTTGAATTTTCATCAAGATGTTCATTTTCATTGAGAACTGTATTTATTCTTAATAGAAGTTTTCGTTTTATTGGTGCATCAAAATTTATATGACGAATTTGAAGATTTTCCATTGATTTATTATAATATATTAATGGAATATGATTTGATATTGATATAGTTTGTCGACATAAAGTTAATAATAAACGAGAATGATAACGTAAGAACATCTGAAATAATAAAAAAAAACAAACGATTTTGGAAAAAAAATCAAAATAAAAACATAATATCTTAAAGATCTTCTAATTATTATTTATTTGAACACGAAACCATGTTTGAACATTTTCAGGTTCAGTTAATGGTGATCCATCAAAATAAGGTATTAACCATTCAGATTTGTTCACATGAACACGTGTTGAATATAAACATGGAGCCTAAAATAAATTAGACAAATTCAAAATTTTCATATGTATATGGGCTAAATTAGCGAAAACGGGACATTCACCCGTTGTATTTGAATGCAATTCTCTATCAGTATAGATTTTTTGAGTAAATTGTTTGCTCTTTCACATGGTTATTAATTAAGAAGTAATTAGCGTATATCTTGATAAACGAATGACGAAAAAACTTGAAAACTTCAAGATAAGTTCTAGGATGTGACCCACATATATGGTAAAATATTCAGCGAGATCGAACTTCAAAAAGTTTCTTTCAAAAAATCGAGCCTTTAGACAGAGCTGAAACGAAAACGTTTGTCTTAGTATTATTCTAGGGACTCCTACCATTGACATGAGTCCGTTGAAATTGATTTCGAACTTTTCAGTTTGTTATCAGAGTGTTTGATAGGTAGTGAAGTCGTACTCAGTCACGTCGCCAACGCTGAATAAATTTTGTTTTTTGAAAAACCTAGACATGCTCAAAATAATTGTATACCGGGATTCAGTAGCCTTAGGATTCATGTCTAGTATGCGATTGTGCAACATTTGGAAATTTTTAAAACCCAAAGTATATCAAGTGACAGTTTATGTCCTTTTTAGTGTCACGTCGCTAACGCTAGTTTTTCATTAATAATTCCTCTGAAGAAAGCTCTAGAGTGTTGATTTTTTCATGGCGTCTAGAGTAAAGAGAGATTCGTACAACATGCAAAAATTACACCTAAACTAGTTCATAATTCCGAGATATGCATACTCCAAATTTGCAATGTTACGTCGCTAATGAATGATTTAGCCCATATATATTCTCATTGCTTATTCTTACTTGAAGATAGACTAAATCTGGTTTAGTAATTGGAACTAAATGATGTGATTGTATCCATCGATCAAATATATCAATATTATTTAAACCTAATAAACTTTTATAAGAACGTTGATCAATTGGACTAGCAAGTAATGTTGTTGGACTATGATATAATGCTGATAATAATGGTAATGGACTTTTAATTGATCTTTTCGGAAACCAAAAACAAAAACAAAATAATATAAATTATTAAAAAAAGAAAAATCATTACTCATAAGGTACACGAATAACTGATACAAGATCAGCAGGCATTTGAAGTGTATCAATATAATCAGCAAGATCAATTTTTGCAATGACTAAACATTGTTTACCTTTTTCATCAGCTATTTGATAAAGAACACGTTTGATCTAAATTTTTGTACAAAATTAATGAATTACTAAAAGATGATTTCTACATACATACAATGGATGACGTATACGCCAGTCAAGTTCAAGTGTTGGATAATGAAGACAATCAAAAAGAACATCGAATGGTTCAGAAAGATGTTTTAATAATTTTGATGAATCATTTGCAAGCTATAAAAATAAATTATTCATTTCATAAATAATTAATATAAAAGTTAGTAGAGTAATACTTTCGGACAATGAATTTCAAGTAATGATTGAAAATTATTTCGAATATATGAATGTAGAATTTGACATTCATGTTCAGTTGGTTCAATTGATGGTAATATTGTTTTACCATCGAGAGATGTACCACTAGAAATAAAAAAAAGTTTATTAATTAGAACAATATTGAAAAAGAAACATCACGACATACTTTGGATAAAAATAAATGTAATCACACTTATATTTAGTTTGATCAAGTCTAGATTAAATAGAATAAATAGTATCTAATGATTTATTTATTTTTTTGTAATTGAAAGAATGTGGATGAAAATCAAAATCTTAATCTGACTATTCTCTTTATTATTAATAGATTAGTACATTCGATATTTTCAAATGAAGATATCTTTTGATAATTTTTAATGATAATAAACAAGAGTAGTTCGCGTTCTCTGTCGAACTACTGACTAACTTTAAAATCGAAGAATTCATTCAATTAAATTTGACAATCTTAGTTCAACTTCGAGTGTAATCTCTCTCATAGAGTTTAATTAACTATGGTATTCTTTTAAGCTTTTAGTTGAATTTCAATATAATGAAATAAATTTGAAAATAATGCAGGAAAAAAAAAGTGCACATATGCATGAAGAATGTAATTTGTCAGTTTAAGAACATTTTCATTTACTGATTTCTACACAAAACTGTGTATTTATTTCTCTTAAATCAAACAATCTACACTGATTATTTTATTAGATTTTCGTTTGTTTTCATAATGCAGACATATTTGTTTTGTCCTCTCAATTAAGAAAAAATGTCCGTAATCAAGAAGATACTTAATCACCGATTCATCGTGGGCGTAGAGTACATAAATATCATGTTCAAATATGATTTTTATCAATAGGCGTGTTCCATGAGAACGTTGGTCTAGGTTAACTTTTTTTAGTCTTCACAGAATCTAGCACTATCTGGAACTTAAGGCTTTCAGACCACGCTCTTTCTTTTGTCTGCCGGACACTTTTGACCAAAATGCTCGGAAATAGATTTTCTAGAAAACCTTGATTTTTGGACCAATGGTAGCGGAAGTTTTTTTTTGTATTAACTGCCTATAATGATAGAGCAACAAATTCTCTACCAAAAGAGATGTCTCCGAGCTCTCTACGACACTTTTTGGCCGAGTTACATAGATTTTACTGAGGGGAAAAGCCGTTTTTTTCTTAGAGGAAATAGCAGAAAAATGGCTTTTCCCTTTCACTAAAATGAATGTAACTCAGCCAAAACGTGTCGTAGAGAGCTCGGAAATATCTCATTTTGTAGAGAATTTGTTGCTCTATCATTATAGGCTGTTAAAACAAAAAAACTTCGGTGACCATTGGTCTAAAAACCAAAGTTTTCTAGAAAACCTACTTTCGAGCATTTTGGACAAAAGTGTCCGCTAGACAAAAGAAAGAGCGTAGTCTGAAACCCTTAAGTTCCAGATGGCATGAAAATGAGATGTACCCTTATCGAATTAGGTTTTTCATGGAACACGCCTATGAACAACATAATTATTAATTAATTACTTTTCTCTCTTATGTATTTTTTTGTTATAACATAATTCTAAATATGAATACATACTCTTTTAATTTTTTTTCTAATGATTTTACAAAAGATATTGGTGGTATATAACCATTACTTGCAGTTTTTTCAAGTAATTTAATTAAAATTTCAATTTGTTTTATTTTATCACCAGTTAAATAATTTGTAAATGTTTCATAAGTTTGTGATGTTTTAGCTATTAAATAATAATCACTTTCTTTTATTCGTGCTGGTGCTATTGGTCGTTTAATTTGTTGATCAAGTGTAAGTTTTTGTTTATTATTCAATATTATATTTGTATTATTTATTCGTATTCGTTGACGTTCTTCATATAAACGAATTGATTCTGTTTGTGATATATTATCAAGTAAAGAAAAAAAAAATTTATAATCATGAAATTTAGCAGCTGCTGTTAAAACAAAACCTAATGCTTGTTGCATACCATCAAGATCATTATCAAGTATAGGTAAATATTTTAATGATTCTTTCCATTCTTTTGTTAATGTTAAACCAGCTATAATTGGTAAAACAAGCATTACATCAGGAATAATTTTATATGAAAGAAATTCTTGATATGTATCTAATAGAATTTTTTCATCTAAACAATATTCATTTAATTCAATTCGAATATCAATTTCACGTGCTAATAATAATAACATAGCTAAACTTGTTGGTGTTAATGATATATTTTCATGTTTTAAATAATTAATATATGATAAACCCATAAGAAAACGTTGATAATTAATACATTCATGTAAAAATATTCCATCAAATAAACGTGATACACCAATATCTTTTTTAACAAGATAATTACGAAATGTTGTCCATTGTTCAATATCAATATAACCATCATGCATATAACGAAGAATTTGTCTTATAGTTGAACGTATAATTAATGGACGATGAAATTCTGATTGTTGAACATCAACACGATTAACAGCTTCCATCCAATCATAATATGTTGTTTGTAAACGTCTATATGCATACATAGATTTTTTTATTGGTTTTTTATTAATACGTATGTCCAATGTATTATTAACTGTTGCTATTGTACTTTGTTTTGCATAAGAAAATGTTTTGTTTAATAATAACAATAAACGATATCGACTAGAAATCATTATCTTCAATAGAACAAAAATTTTTTTTTTTCAAAAATGATCTAAAAGTAGTCTTGAAATATATAGAATAGACATTTACACTTCCGGTTTAAAAATATTTTCCTTTGCCTATAAATTTATTCATAATAGTATCATGGGTTTCATCTAATATGATGGTTTCACTTGTGATGAAATAATAAGAAACTTTACTTTTATCAGATATTAAACTTCTAATGAAGTTGAAGCTAATGACAAACTTGTAAAAGATCCCATAGAAAAGAAGAATGGTTTTTGTACTTCTACAATCATATGATATTAATATATCAGTCTTCAGCTTCTATTAAAAAAGGCGGATATCATATTAAATATACCATGTTGTAGAGCTTTTTGGGGTGCGTCGAATGGTATATAGTAAATCCTGTTTTCATAAGACTTTGAAGGAACTAGAGTCAATTTACTGATATACGACTACGCACCCATACTCACACCCTCACCTAAGTATGATAGGTTACTGAATATTGTGGTCCTTGGGATTAGTCGAAAGTATTTGTAAAATATTTTTTCTCACATACGATTTTGCAGAGTTTTTGACGGGCTACAACCTCATATATGTAGCATCCCCGGTTATCTTGTCAGTGTGGGTGTGTAGTCGTCTATCAGTAAATTGACTCTATAGTTCCTTCAAAGTCTTATGAAAACAGGATTTACTATATACCATTCGACGCACCTCAAAAAGCTCTACAACATGGTATATTTGGTTTTTTTCATTTCTGAATAGGCTATTTTATCCGACAAGGTCCTTTAAACACCGTTCTACAAACTTTTGCTTTACCCTAAGTATATATGTTTAACAGAAGTACTACTATATGGATAAAATAAAACGAATTTCTAACACGGTGAAATATTTCTATGACGAGCAACAGGAACTACATCATGTTTCATATTATAATTTCGCAAGGATTGTACTAACAATTTTGTTTTTCTTTCTCTGAGAAATAAACACAGGTCATTCGTTTTTTTATTTTGAGACCAAAAAAAAAATTAGACAGACAAGCAAACAAAAAGAACATTTATTTCAATACATAACGAATGGAAAAAAAAAACAAAATGTTTTATTGCATCATTGGTGGTGGAGGTGGTGGTGGTCGATTTGGTGGTGGAGGTGGAGGTGGTCGCTAAAATAGAAAATTAATTAGAACTTTTTATTTTATTAAATAAAATAAAAACTTACAAATGGAGCTGCTGCTGTTGGTGTTGGAGCTAATGGTGGACGTGGCATTTGCTAATAAATAAATATTCATATTAAAAATCAATATTTTCTTTTATGGATAAAAAAAAACAAATCTAACACTATTATATTATAAGATATAGCGAAATTAGCAGTTATAAAATGTCATTCGTCTCTTAACTCTGATTTTTCTTTTAAATATTCCTATTCTTTTATTATATTTTTTTTATCTTTCTACATATTATTCACTGTCCTATTTAAAAAACTTTTTCATCTCATACTGCAAATACTTCATATCAAATCAACATTACCATTGCAAATGGTGGTGGTGGAGGTGGAAGACCAGGTAAACCAGGTGGAATAGGTAGACCACCGAGTGCACCATATGGTAACCATGATGCAATTGGAAATGGATTAACTGGTGGTGGTACAGGTGGTGCTGGTGCAAATTGTGGTTGATCAGCAAATCTAAAAACAAAAGTGAAAGAAAAATTTATTTTTAAATAAATAAAATTTAATTTTAATAATATACGAACAATGTATGTGGTTTATCTGAATGTGATAATGGATTTTGAGCAGCAAGTAAACGTTCAGCAGCTGAACCATGTCGTTCACCTTTTGAATCTTTTTTAAATGCATATGAAACTGTTATAGGACGATTACATAAATATTGACCATTCATAGCTTCTAATGCTGTATCAGATCCATCAAAATTAGCAAAATTAATAAAAGCATAACCTTTTGAATTGCCAGAATCAGGATCACGCATAATCTAAAAAAAATCATTTGTTTTAATAAATTTTGTGAAAATAAAAAAATTTACTTTTGGTGTTTGTAAAATAACACCAAATGCTGAAAATGTATCATATAATAATTTTTCATCAACTTCTGGATCAAGATTACCAATAAATAAATTTGCACCAACATCAAGATTTTTTTGATGTGCTGATGCCTAAAAAAACAAAAAAAAACATAAAATTCAAAAGAAATTATTTATTTTTTACTTTATTAACACGTATTGGTTTACCATAGAGTTTAATCATATTCATTATTTTAATAGCATAATCTGCATCTTCTTCAGTTAAAAATTCAACAAAACCATAACCTTGATGATTGATTGTTACACGATCTTTTGGTTGATGAACATTTACTATTAAATATAAAATAAGATTCTTTTTTTTTTCTTTTTTTGTATATATTAGAAACTTACCAACAGGACCAGCTTGAACGAATAATTCCCAAAGAATAGATTCATTAACACGTTCATCAAGACCACCAACATATATTGTTGCATCTTGATTTCTTTCAGCGACTGGTACAGCAGACATTATCACAAAATATAAATATTTAACAATATTTTCTATACGTTAAATATATAATCTAAAATCAAATGAAATTATGAATTCTTCTAGAAGAAAAATGCATAAGTTTTTTTTCAATGTACCAATGTAATGCTTTTCGATTGGTGGACCATAAGATAACGAATGACAAGAGGACGTTATATAGAGGGCGTAAGAAACCTTTTTGTTTTTTTTTAGAGTAAATCTAAAGACTAATTTTTTGAATGTAAACTTTTTCGTGAAAGTCAGAAATATGTATAGATTTTCGAAGAAAAAGTAAATCTCTCACTAAATGACAATAAATTATTTCTGAGTGTATAGAAATACGCCAAGAAATATTTTAAGACCTACCTTTGAAACTACCTCAATAGTTGAACAAAATTCTGATTATTTTCACAATGAAATTCTCCATATCTAAAGATTTATTCATTAATCTATATACAATCAATTTGTAGTTTCTTTTCATCGTTTGTAGATCATTTTCTATAATTTCTGAAATCAACTAGAAAATAATTCGCTGAAGATCTGTGGTTTTCACCAATCGATAGATGAGACAGGGGGACGTCTTTTTCTAAGATAATGTGTCAGGCGAAATCCTTTCAAAACTAGTCATCTCTAAAGAACATGGAAAAGAATGCATGAAAACTACCTGTCATCCAGGTGAAATTTTGATTTTGACCTTTGATTTAGATAGAGGAACTTGAGATGTATAGTTCAAGATACAATGCAAATACTTTTCTTATTGCATTCTAACATTGACCAAATGGAATCATGTATTTACATGCGCAAATAATAGGGAATTTTACTGATTTTTTTTACTATGTTTTGCATTTTTATTATAATAGCTAGACATTTCGATGAAAACATAAGGAAAAGTAAGAAAGTGCATTGTATCTTAAACTATAGATCTCCAGTTCCACTATCAAAATCATAGGTCAAAATCAAAATTTCATGTGGATGACAGGTCATTTTCATGCACTTTTTTCCATGTTCTTTAGAGATGACTAGTTTTAAAAGGATTTCGCCTGACACATTATCTTAGAAAAAGACGTTCCCCTGTCTCATCTATCGATTGGTGAAAACCGCAGATCTCTAGCTCGTTGCATTCTCGAGTTATGCCTTCTAATGCTTGATCACATTCGAATCTGATGTTGTCTTTTTGTTTTTTGTTCTGCTATCGTACCGATGATATACTATGCACTCTCGTTCATGTTTTCTTTCAAGTACATTTAGTTTTTGTTATATGTTGCACTTCAGTCCAAACAAGCACTAAACGCTCTTGACACAATATCTGAATGTGTTTACGTCAATGGGTTCGTGAGTGTCCGGCCAACATCTTTTCCTACAATCTTGACTTCAAATATGTTGGCAGGGAAGTCTTTCATATGTTATTATTAATAGACTAAAACATGTTTTTTTGTTACTCGACCTTCGGTCAGGTTTATGTCAAAATAATATGTAAACCTTTTAGTATCTAGTTGAAAGGAAAACTTAAAAGCAGTTGTATTTTTAAGGTTTCTTCTCGATGGTAATGTTTAACAAGAATCTGAAAAAAAAATATTTGTGTACCCTCCATCAGGATTGATAGATTCAAAGACTTCAGCTAAATTTAAATGAAAAACCAAGATTCTTAAAAACAGCTTTGTGATCTTTAGTCAAAAGTTTTGAAACATGATTTTTATCAAAATAGAGTAAAGATTCTGAGCGCAAGATGAAATGTTTTCGACTTCTTAATTAAGATTCCAAATCATCGAAATTTTTAATAAAAAGAAGAGAATCATGCTTGTTCAATATCCTGTATATTGCATGTATTTTGACTAAAAGAAAGGTGATGTGAAGCATATATTTTAATATCTAATCAACTTCTATTCGTTTTTTCTTTTATTTATGATGCAATAACTTTACATATTTAATACAAGATCGTTTTATTTAATATTTTTCTTAATTAATTTTCATATATCTAAAAAATAAAACGAATCAATAGATGTCATCAGTTTCAAAGTTCATTTAGCGTTCATTATTCTTCCAAAAACGAAATGTATGTCGAAAATAAACTATGGAATGATTGCATAGTTCAGTTTACTTGAGATTGAATTTCTTTCTCTCTCTCTCTCTGTCTTTTTCTTTCTGTTCTTAGTTGCCTGAAGCATTGTTTATTTTTGTATCGAATACATTACAAAAGAAGAGGCTATCACCCTATACCCTATATATATATATACCTCCTTCGAAAGTTTCCTTTTTCTTCATTACATTAACCTTCTTTTTCTTTTTTTTTTTATTCGTAAAAGAAAATATGCATCTTGATACGAATATGGGGTAAATTAAATTAAAATATTAATCTCTTTATTTTTTATTTTTTTATTGTTGTTAGTGAACAATCACCATTATATTCATGTAAAGCACATATATTTCAAGTTGATCCTGATACACGAAAAACTTGGTTACCATTATCG